CCATTCATGTTGACCTCCAGCAGTGGCCCTGCCATCTCCCTCGACTTCTCCAAGGCCAACTTGTTCCTTGCATTGGCGAGACTGTTTGTTTTGGCATTATTCTCCCGCCAGGAGCGCTTGCGCTGCTTTGATATGTCCCAAGGCTTGGGCTGGCCACTCGGCTCCTCTTGCTGTCCTCCTCTGTTTTTGGCAGACCTGCTCTCTCGAAAAATACTGCTCTCCTCCACGAAGCGGCTTCTCTTCTCGTTCCACTCGTCCCGCTCCCCCTGCCTCAGCTCCACCTGGCAGTCCATGCGCACTCTCTTCCATTGACTGCTCTTGCCTCCTGGATTGATCAGTTGCATGACCAAGTTCATGTATCGCGTGTTCCCTGTGGCTCCCGATCATCTCGTAGTACCCGCGTCCCTTGTTGCAGCGCCCGCAGGGCCGTGGCTGGCCGCTGCCCGTGATACGCACTCCGAGAAACTCCGCTGGCGCGCAACGCTGCTCGCCTGGGCCGTCCTTGAGCCAGATCAGTTGTGGGATCCGAATATGATCGATGGAGGTGGTAGTGGATTCCCCATTTGCCCCGATACGCGCGCGGTACCTTACATGCTGGTCCCATTTCCCTCCACTGACCGTGGCCCGTCTCCACGTCGTGCGCGTGCTGTACTGCGTGCAAAATGCCCCGCACATCATCTCTCCGCGTCTGTGATGGATAGAGGGAGGAAGAACAATATCGTGTCGTCATTGTAGATGATGTCGGTTACTGACAGGGACGGGTGGGCTGGCTGTTGCCAATAAAGGCCAATCCTTTGGGCATTTCATTGCAAGCCCGCTTCCCGCTCTTCTCGGAACGCCCAGGCAATTCCGCAAATTCTACGAACTGGGGCAAAACGTTTCAGTTTAGCGAAGCGGTCCACGTCCATGCTGATTGACTCCGGTATTCTTTCACCATCTGAAAGATGTCCCTTCCTCTTCGCCCGTGCGCTGTTGGGCGCGCCAGCTATGCCCAACTGCCCGCGCGTGGGGGGGGGGGGCTAGGGCGGCGCCCTCAGTGCATGATGCTGACGCCGTCGGAAGCGCCGTGGGAATGCTTGTTCGCGACAACCGCGGCCCGGCCGGGCACTCTGCCCCGGGGTCTTTGCGCTCGGAGATAACCTCGCTAGTGCAACTGCCCCTCTCGTCCTCGGCGGCCCCTCCCCAGCTCCGACGTGGGCGCTGCCGACTGGGACCTCTCGCCCTCAGCGCAGGCTATCAACATCTTCGCTGCCGCCCTCAGGTCGGGCCCGCGAACTGGCCCAGCTTCGCCGCGGTTTCTTCTTCCATGTCCTTCGGGGGCACTGCCCTGAAGTTGGGGGACTCGTCGATGCGGATCTGGATCTTGCCTGGGCCGTCCTCCCAGGACTCCTGTTCGTCCTCGTTCGGTCTCCTGTTCTTGTGGTTGCGCGCCTCGTTGCTCTCGCTGCCTTGCACGTCTTGATCGCCGCTGTGACCATGGCCTGGCTGCACTCGCTGATGTCCTTCCACCAGCTTCTGGAAGTCATTCAGAACGTCCATTGCCCGATCTATCGACGCCGCCATTGCCGTTGGATCTGTTTTCTGCCCATCCGACACCATCTCCTGGATGCCCCCCATGGGCGCCGCCCCCGCGCGCATGCCTGGTTGTCCCAGCTCGCGCCCCTCGCCCCTCTCCCTGGCCCGGTTCCCGTAGTTCTGCGCCGCTGCCGGCGACTTCCGAAACGCCCAGCTGCTGACTGGCAAGAAGCCTGATGTCGCGTGGTTCACCCCCCTGGTCTCTGCTGCCGAGCGGAGGGCCAATCGCTGGAGTCCGTTGATGCAAACTCTGAAGTCGAACTCCTCGTGGTCTTTTGCTGCGCGTGACTGCTGGCAGTGGGGTCTGCGCCCTTCCCGCCTGCCCTCGCCGCCCCCCCCGTCGCCGCGGCCGCGGCCGCGGCCGCTGGCGGGCTGGCCGCCGCCATGGCGTTGGCCCCTTCAGTGGTCCACTGGTCGTTTCCTTTTCCCTTGCCGCCCTTGCGGTGCTTCGGTTCTCCTCCCATCTCCGCGATTGCTCCTCCTCTGGTCGGGGGCAGTCTCCACGGTGCAATCGCCGTCTTCCACGCGGTGCGGCCCAGGATGGCGGCAGCGCGCGCGCCTGAAAATCCCTGAAAGATTGAGGTTGGAAACCGCAGAGGGTGCAGACTAGGGAAGGAGGCTGCTGGACTGGGTGATTTGCTTTTGTTTTTGTAACATATCCCACGGCTCCGCGGCCCCCGCGACATGGCCGGTCGTTATTTCTCGACGCGAATGAGCTCGATCACCATGGGTACTGATTCGACATGACCAAACTGCGGGTCCGCGGAAGACAGTGGCGCACCACCCCCCCGCGCGCCGCCAGCGCCGACGCCGCGGTGAACTGCGCTCTGCGCGCCCGCCCCTCAGCCCCAGCTTCCAAGTCGCACCAAAACTGAGCGACCAGTTCGCCTCCCACCGCAATCCTTGGTAATTTTGTATCCCGAGCTTGTCCTGCGTGGCGTAGGATAGCGGGGTCCGTCCCTATCCAGGCTTCCCAGTCTCTCGTGCCGGTCTGGCTTGCGACGTCCTCGCTGACCACCGCCAGTGCTTGGAAATCTCTGACCACCTGCTTTGCCCAAGGTGTAGATGCTTCGCGTGCCCCCCCCCCCCCCCATTTTCCAATCTCCTGGCTTTGCAGAGGCGGCCCAGCTTCGACGTGCCAAAAACAGCTGCCAGCACACTGCCGAAGTCCTCTGGATATTTCGCCTATTGCCTATTCCATCGCAGCCTGCGGATCCTCAGCGCTGCTGCGCAACGCTGTATCCTCCACTTCCTGAACACCTCCTTGTTGGCGCGGCACCTGGTCGCGCCATCTTCTTCTGTCCAGCTCATCCTGCCTCCTGCCACTCTTCCCAAAAGAAAACCATAATACGACCGAGCACTTTCAAGTGTCGTTCCTCCCGCACAAGTGCCGTCAATCCGCCTAGGCCCGCTGGCGAAACAAACGAGAGGGACCTCCCCTGTTTTATCCCGTCGGTGGTATCAGAAAACCAGAAACATCCACATTGTCTGTAACACATATCCTCCTGATCCCTCCCGCGTAGCCTTGGTCTCCTGGTAGGTGCGGCCCCAAAACTCTCATTTCCCTCATCGGCGTGCCCTTGATATTCTTCTCACTTTGTAACCATCGCGTGGTCCCGTCTCGCCCTGGGCCTCGAAGGGGTACCACATGGTTGGTTTTGTCCGGGTTCAAGCTCCATCCTCCTCTCTCCGACTGGCGCTCGAGGCGCTGCCTGGTGGCATTGATCTGCTCCGCTCTCCTTCTCGCTTGGGCTCTTAGGCGATCCGAGATAGCCTCGCTTTCGCCGAAAGCCGACTGGTGTTGTGCTCCTGGGCGAACTCCCGACTGGTGCTCCGAGATCGCCCCGCTAACTCCAGTCGCCTGTGTGGGCGGTCCCGACAAAACCGTTGTGGACATTGGTGGTGTCGTCCATGAACGTGTTGAGCGAAGGACCGTGCTCATGGTCATTGACGGGGTGCACCGTATCGTGCACTGTCTGCATCTTGTCCCTCTCCCTATTTTCCTGGTGCCATTGCCCCACGTATACGTTGTATGTGGCATTGAATTGCCGTGGGCACAATGTAAAACCCAGCTGCGCACCCCGCGCAGTCCTTGCATGTAGCCAGTCGCCTGCCCATCCCATGCTCATTGACGTGTAGTGTAGCGCCTCGATAGCGAATGGTCGGTCCTCCTCTTTCGGCGTGGCGAAGACGGATGCCAGCAGGAGGTTGCGTTTCGTGCTCGCTAGGGCACTGGTGCAGTCGTAGTTGCTGGCAGTGGTGCTCACTCCTGCCTTTCTTTCTCTCCATTGTGGAGCGTCGAAGCAGGCAATCGACGCTGAGTCAACGCTCGCCGACGCTAAATCGGCCCTGTCCCATCGACTTCCTGACGCTAGTCGACGCCAGGCGACTCTAGAGCCAGAATTACGACGGTACAGAAGGCTCCCATGATTTGTGACCGAACAAACTGATGTGTGTGCGCGTGCGTGCAAATCATGGTCGAGGCACGTGCGCGGCCCAGAGAAGTGCCAGGGGATGCGCTGACACCAGAAATGGGGCGGGGCCATGAAATCCGAGGGTACATCATGGCCCCGAAAACCATTTCCCCCCCAGTGATTACCCCCCTTTCTTGGCCGCCACTGTGGTCGCGATTCTTGTCGTAGCGCGGGCGCTTGGAAGTCTAGACCCCCTTCCCCGTGACGTTTCTTCACCCCGAATTGGTTTCCTATGTCCCCGGGGGGGCCCGTAAGGGGCCCCGGCAGCCGCCTCGATCCTCCTCGACCGATCCTTCGCCTAGAGTGCTGCGCGGATCTCCTCGACCGATCGATCCTTCTCGAGCGATCCTTCTCCTCGATCGATCCTCGATTCTCCGCTTCCTCCTCCTCCTCCTCCTCCTCCTCCTCCTCCTCGGCTATCCACCTCGATCCTCTCCCTCGACCAAACCCTCCTGGATTGATCCCCCTCCACGACCGATCTTCGATCCTCACATCAATACTCTGCGACGAAGATGAGGAGGATACATGATGACGGCAAAGCCAAAGCAAAAGGCATTTCGAGAAACCCCTCCTCGAGGAAGGAGGAGCGTCGGGCAGCAAAACCCAACCCTCCCAAGACGATCCCGAGAGGAGCAATGACCAAATACGGATCGTGGCACGAGGTGTTGATATTCATCGATCGGTCCTCGGTCCTACTTCTCCCTCTCGGCACATCCTCTCGGCACATCCTCCTCCTCGATCAACCACCCATGCTCCTCCTCGATCGATCATCCTCGACCGGTCCTCCTTAAGCGATCCTCCCATCCGGTTGACACTTGATCCTCCCCCTTCTCTAGTCATCCTCTTCGAACGATCCCCGATCCTCCTCCTAGGTCGATCCTCCAGCTCGAGCGATCCCCGAGCCTCATCCTCGATTGATCCTCCCCTGCGGTGGGGCCCTCAACCCCACGCCTTGCTGCCAGGATCGGCGGGGCTCTCGGCCGCAAGGCAGATGCCCTCGCGCACCTGGCGAGGCCGCGCCGGGGCAGCGGCGAAGCATCGACGGCACCGAGGGGGAGGAGGGTCGATCCAGGAGGGTCGAGAAGGATGAGGATCGAGAGGGAGGGGCACCGAGGAGGCGGATGAGCATCCGTCGAAGAACACCTGCCAAGGATCGGAGAGGAGGCTCGAGGAGGACCGATCGAGGAGAAGCCATCGACGAGAAGGACCGAGGAAGAGAATCGATCGAGGAGGATGGGGAGCGTCGAGAGGGAACAGCCGCATCGACGAGGACCCACGGAGAGCGGGGCCGAGGGAGGGGAGGGCGGGAGAGCCCTCGGAACCAGGGCAGGCCCCGCCCCCCTGGGAGGAGGGGGAGGTCGAAGCGAGGAGGCTTCGGAGGAGGAGGAAAGGGAGAATGCAGTGGAATCGTAGCCTTAAGTCGGGCGCGTCACCCTACTTGGGGAAAGATGCCCAAAAATATTCAAAAAATAGTGGCCGTCCTATTTTTTACTATTTTTGAATATTCCCCCTGTAGAGGGACAGACCCGACTTAATCTTAGCCGGCCAGAAACGCGACACGCAACCCGCAGCGAGCTGACACGGGGCTCGAAACGGGAGACTGGCCGCGTGCGTTTGGAGCGACACGTTCGCCAACACGCGGCCAACACGTTGAACCAACACGCAGCGTACTCAACTCGGACGCGTTGAACACAGCACGTGCTGCGTCCCAACACGGGCGCCTTTGGGCAGCTATGACTGGAATGGGTGTGCGCGCAATGCGGTAGCTGATGCCGTCCTGCGCTCGTTGCCGGGTCACTTCAGCCTCGGCTGGCCGCTCAGGCGCGCTCCTCCTGAGAGTCTCCCTTGCCGTCGCTCGGACGTCCATTTCTCGTGCATTGTTCGGTTTCGTGCGTGCTTGTTTTGCTCGATGGTCCAGGGTGGTCCTCGATGCTTCTCGCCGAGAAAAAATACACACGTCCGAGCGATGCCAAGCTCCTTCCCGCGGTGAGTGCCCTCCCCTCTTTTAATGGGAACTGGGACACACAAAAAATACATACAAATGAAATGATTTCCCATATTTTCCTATATTTTCTGGTTTTTACCTAACAGCGAACACTGGTAGGTTTCTAATAGGGTCAAAAGAGAGCATCATGACTCCCCAAAGGGGTCTGGGCGGCATCCGGACAGGGATCCGCGGAAGTCGTTTTAAGCAAACAATTACACACTTCGTGGTGTTCGAGGTCCCCGACCTCCATTCCCGGGCCACATTCTGAATGCCCGGAGCCAACTGTAGGCCACTTCGTGCTCTTCGAGTTCCCAAAACTCCATTCCTGGGCATGATTTTGAATGCCCGGAGCCAACTGTAGGCCACTTCGTGGTCTTCGAGTTCCCAGAACTCCATTCTTGGGCATGATTTTGACGAGACGATCTGTTTTCTAGCGGCTATTGCTTCTGTGTAACTTACTCTGGCAGTCTCAGCGCCGCCTGGACTGCCGACAGGAGTCTGACGAGCAAAGTGCAACTGTACCCAGCCTGGCAAGCGTGCACGTCAGACACAAACTGCTCCACTCCCTGTGACCAAGGGCGGCACGAGGGCGGGTGATGAAGAAAAGCGAGGCTTGAGCACAAACGGTTGCGCATACAGCGCTGCAAGAGGACTGGCACGCTGAGACGGTTTCCGTTTAGGTGGACATGGAGGGGTAATCAGGGCCCGACACTCGAAAAACCTCAGCACGTCATTATCGTGCTACGCACACCCATGACGAGACGATCTGTTTTCTAGCGGCTATTGCTTCTGTGTAACTTACTCTGGCAGTCTCAGCGCCGCCTGGACTGCCGACAGGAGTCTGACGAGCAAAGTGCAACTGTACCCAGACTGGCAAGCGTGCACGTCAGACACAAACTGCTCCACTCCCCAATTCTGTCCCAAAGCTGGCGTGGGCCAGTTCACACATTTAGATAGAGGGACCTTATGGGGGCTAAAAGGGCAGCCGCGAGCGAGCGAGCGAAAGCGACGGGCATTTCAAAACTGTTCAAACTCAGAGGGCCTGGGTGCCTTCTGGTTCGAGGTCCCTGGATCCGCAGCCCGTCGAGATCTCGAGATGAGATACCTGCACACAAAATTACCCACGGGAGACGGTGATGACTACCGAAAGCACTGAGCGTGTTATCTACTCGAGTGGTTGCGCAGGCAGCAAGCTTGTGCAAGGCTGGCCTCAGCGCGGCTGAGGTGTCATAGTGCAAGATTAGGCAAGGAACAAACGCTCTGGCGGCCGCTCGCATGACTCGTTGGACGTGCGACGTGTGACGAGGGCTGAATCCTGACTCAACCAAAACGCCTAGGAGACGCTCACGCTGGAGATCGCACACTAGGGATCTGGCGAACAATGCGTCGGGGCGCTCGTCATATAAGCATCTGACTTTAAAACCTGACGCGCGAAGCGGCCGCCCGATCTGCCGACTGTGTGGTCCCCAGACGCAAATCCAGCGTGACACGACGCCGCGGCTTACGGGAAAACGGGCACGGCCTGCCCGTCCAAGAGCACTCCCACGAGCCGAGCCTCGCACTGCTTTGCGTGCGCCTTGAAGCTCTCGCTCAGCCTCTCCCAGGTCTTGCTCAGCAACGCGTGCTTCTCGTACCGCTGAAGGCTCTTGTCTGTCTTCCAGCCGCCGCGACGCTTGATGGCTGCCATGTCTCGAAACCCGTGGAGGCGGTCGTGGGAGGCTCCTGAGTGCCGAGCCTGGTATGGTACCACATCGATCTTGAGGCGGTTTGCCACGGTCTTGAACGAGCGGGCCAGCTCGGGGTAGCTGAAACGCCAGAGACACTCCCCAGCCGTCCGCGACTTGAGGGCCTCCAACAGTGGGTGGAGCGACTTCCAGAAAGAGTGGTCCAGCATGCAGCTCTGGTCGAACTCGTTCACCTTGTTGGCCACTCCCCCCTCGTACGGGTTCAGCGTCACTCCCCACAAGCCCGTCACGGAGTTCGGGGCTATGAGGTCGTCGGGACGCATGGCCAGCAGGCTCCCAGGCCTGCAGTACGTGCTCCACATCACGAGCACCGCCAGTCCCATCTCGAGCTTTCCGTCCTGAACCAGGCCGTTGATGATGGCTGCCCAGACTGCGAAAGCCTGAGGCACGCGAGCCCGAGGCGGAACCACGTTGACCCAGCCCTTGAGCGCCCGCCAGCTGCGAGGCAGGCCCTGGCGCCCGACCTTGCCGAACTGCGGCATCACGTGCATGACCGAGGCAATGACCTTCATTCCTTTGGACGGGGCCTCCCCCTTCAGCCACAGCTCCTCGAAGTACATCACCAGCAGCTCGTCCAGGCGACTGGTGTCCACATCCTGGATCCGATCGACCTCGGCCCACTCCGCGAACGATGTGAGCTCCTTCACGTACGACCTCTCGGTGCGGACCCTCACGGCGCGCTGCTCCAGCACGCTGAGCCCGTGCAGTTGCTTGTCCCTCTCCATCACCTCCTGCAGCCACCTCTCTAGACGCCGCTTGCCGCGACGCTCGAGTCGGCGGGCCCGATCGGCGCGCTCGTCCTGCGCGTCGGACTCGCTCGAAGTGGAGTCGGACGGCGCGCCGCGCTTCTGGGCCGAGCCACTGGTGTCTGGCCTTAGGATGCCGTGGCAGTCGGCCGTCTGATCGGCCAGGCGCGGTGGGGCTGCAGGGACTCCCGCGCCCAGCAGCGCCCCGCGACCTCCGCGACCCTTGACCAGCCCGCGGCTCCGTCCTGCTGCGACCGCCGCGAGGCTGCGGGCCAGCGTCCGCTCGCGCCGCTTCGGCGCGGCGGGTGCTCTCGGCGTCGGCCAGACCGCCACAGCTCGCGCCAGCGTCCGAACTCTTCGAGGCCGACCCGAGTCGCCCATGAGCAGCGGACGAAGAAGGATCTGGGAGACAATCAGAAAGACGTATGGTGCGTGCTTCATGGATGCTAGGCGTTTTCTGAGCCGAAGCGCCTGCCGACGGGTGACAGCGCGGATGCACTTGCTTTCGACCAGGCTCAACCTGAGGTAAAAAACCGGCAAGCCTCAAGACTCTGGGACGCTCGGGGGATCGACCACGAGCCCAAAGACATTCGGACAGCTTCAAAGGACGTCGATGGGGTGCGATACGAGGACTGTGGTCTCGCTCCCTTTCCCCCTCCATGTCACTTGTTAAACTTCGTGCTCTCAAAAAACTACGCTGATGACCCCCCTTGCTCGACACGGGGGGCGCAGGAAAAGAAACCTCCCCAGGACTCTCACGAGGTCCTTTCGCGGTCCCCTGGGACGGCGGGTGTGAAAAAAGCCGAGAGGGCCAGTCCGCGGGGTTTCGCTCCGAGGGGATCCATCCAACCGTGAGACGGACATTCCTGGCGAGGCAAAGACACGCAAGCTTCCTAAGGATCAACAAAAGCTTGTAGTTTCTGGTGCGATATCTGTCACAGCAAAGCACAAGCGCGAGATTATCACAGAACAGGAGCTGTCTGAGATTTCGACCAGGGCGAGAGAGGAGGATGCGCTCGGCGCCGATGAGCAAGGCGCGGGCTTCGAGCAGCAGAATGTTTTCCTCAAAAGCGAAAGGCCACCCCCCGCACACGTGCCAGGCATCCTCGGCCAAATCGGAGGCCGATATCTCCTCGAACTCGGCAGAGGCCTCGAGCCCCTGGGCTCCCACCGCTCCAAGGGCCTCGAGACTGTCACGGTGCAAGAGCGGGCACGAGTCAAGCAAAGCGGCATCACGGGCACGGACGTGCCCAGGGTGTCTGAACCGATCACGCTCACGCACTCGGCCATAGCGGGAGGTAGTACTGGCCCCCAGCGCGCGTAAGCACACGCCGAAGCCCTCCTCGCAGGCGTCCGTGGCGCAAGCAATGCCGTTCCAGTCCAGCTCCCACGACGCCACCAACGTGATCATCAGGCCCAAAAAGCACTTCAGCTCCTGCCGAACGCTCGCCCAGAGCTCAACGGGCACGTGGTAGTTGCTCTGTATGAAGCTGTAGACGGCGCTGAAGCAGGTGAGTGTCTCCCGGC